GTCGGAGATAGATACACTACTGTGTGTATGTGTATATCATGGATCGATTCATTTTTAGTTTGAAGAAAAATGTCTTTTTTCTAAAAAGAAATTATATAAATATGTCATTTGGGTCTATATACATAATTATTCAAATGTTTCCTCTTATTTATATCACATTTTCTCTACTATTAATATTTAGATAATTATATTTTTTTTGATAAAGAATATTTAGATGATTATATAGTATTAACTTTATATCATAAAGAGATTTTATATGGAAAAATACATGCGTATGTGTAGTAATGTATATATGTAAGTACATATATGTCTGTATGTGGTTGTGTCACATATTTGTCAAATACTATCGTTCCTCTTTATTTCGAAAGAAAAATGGTATCTTCTCTATAACTTTTGTTAAAGATAACTTTTGGATCTGTTCGTACCTAATTATCTGAATGTTTTCATCTTATTTTGTCTAGTTTTTTTTTACTAAAGCCATCTTAGACAATTCTCATGAATAATCAGTTACATATATACGATGTTATAATGTAAGTCTTTATATTCATTTTTTTAATATTAGTTGATGAGCTTATCTATAATCTAAAAAGGGAGAGAAAAATATCGATATTTTTGTTGAGTTAATGTTACTTGTGAAAATGATAAAATTATGTATCAAACTATAGTTTCTTAACACCTCGACATTACTTTCCCTTAACATCATTATTTTCTTCCATTTTCATAATGATCTTTCTCTTCTTCATTCTATATATATGACAATGCATATTCATGTAAAATCTTTAACTAATTTGATTTGATTTAGGGCAGCGGAAGATATACTTGGAGAAGAAAATCAAATCAAGAAATGATTTTAATCACAACCTTGAAGATTTGAAGGATTTCAAAGCTACACAACTCTAAAGATCCATCTTGTGATATAATATTTGACTGATTGTTCATAATCAATCATCATCACAATGTATCATCCAAATATGTTTGAGAGCCATCATATGTTCGATATGACCCCGAAGAGTACTTCTGATAACGACTTGGGAATCATCGGAAGCCGAGAAGATGATTTCGAGACCAAGTCAGGGACTGAAGTCACCACCGAGAATCCTTCTGGTGAAGAGCTCCAAGATCCTAACCAACGTCCCAACAAAAAGAAGCGTTACCATCGCCACACGCAACGCCAAATTCAAGAACTTGAATCGTAAGGAAAAACACACTCCACAAACTCTAGTTCATATATCAATAGATTCAAGACATTTTAACTTTTTTTCTTTCGGGGTTTATAGGTTCTTCAAGGAATGTCCTCATCCAGATGATAAACAACGGAAAGAGTTGAGCCGTGATCTCTGTTTAGAGCCTCTTCAAGTGAAGTTTTGGTTCCAAAACAAACGCACACAAATGAAGGTATATGTAACCATTAACAAAATAATAACAATTTCATATGTAAGGTATATAGTTGATATTAATTTCATTTAAATATAGGGAACTTTTATTTATCACAATTTTGTGTGTGTAATATCTATAGGCACAACATGAGAGGCATGAGAATCAGATTCTAAAGTCAGACAATGACAAACTCAGAGCAGAGAACAATAGATACAAAGAAGCTCTAAGCAATGCTACATGCCCTAATTGTGGCGGTCCTGCTGCAATTGGAGAAATGTCCTTCGATGAACAACATATCAGGATTGAAAATGCTAGACTCCGTGAAGAGGTACATATATAATATTTTGATATATCTGATTTAGTTTACTAGCTTGTATGAATTATCTGAATCTTTTACGTACCAATTGATCTACAGATTGATAGAATTTCTGCGATTGCTGCAAAATATGTTGGGAAGCCATTGGGATCGTCTTTCGCTCCTTTAGCCATCCACGCGCCTTCTCGTTCGCTTGATCTTGAAGTTGGGAACTTTGGGAACCAGACAGGATTTGTAGGGGAAATGTATGGAACAGGGGACATTTTGAGGTCTGTTTCGATCCCTTCCGAGACCGATAAGCCAATGATTGTCGAGCTAGCGGTTGCAGCTATGGAAGAACTCGTGAGAATGGCTCAAGCCGGGGATCCTTTATGGGTTTCAACTGATAATTCAGTCGAGATTCTCAATGAAGAAGAGTATTTTAGAACGTTTCCGCGAGGAATTGGACCAAAGCCATTAGAATTGAGATCAGAGGCTTCAAGAGAATCCGCGGTTGTTATAATGAATCACATCAATCTCGTTGAGATTCTCATGGATGTGGTAAGTCAAACTAAAATTTGTTGCTTGATCTTGAAGTTAACCACTAAAATCAATCAAAACTAATATTAATATGGTTTTTTTTTATGTGAAAAAAGAATCAATGGTCTTGTGTTTTCTCTGGGATTGTGTCAAGAGCATTGACACTTGAAGTTCTTTCGACTGGAGTTGCTGGAAACTACAATGGTGCCTTGCAAGTGGTATGTGTATCGGTTTCATTACTTGCTTCTCAAGAAACCTATACACCGAATGATGTAATAACCGGTTTTTGAATGTCATTTCGGTTTGTGTTTTTCCGGTATGCGAAGATGACAGCTGAGTTTCAAGTTCCATCGCCACTAGTCCCGACACGTGAGAACTACTTTGTGAGATACTGTAAGCAGCATAGCGACGGTTCTTGGGCTGTGGTTGATGTCTCTTTGGACAGCCTGAGACCGAATCCGATCTCAAGAACCAGAAGAAGGCCTTCAGGTTGTCTGATTCAAGAACTGCCTAATGGTTATTCTAAGGTAAAAAAACAGAAGTTATGCAGGGTTTATATTGAGTATTTATGAAGTAAAGGTTCAAAATTTGAAATTCAAAGAAGTTATGGGGCT